CACCTTGATGTTTCGAGACCCCACTTTGGGTCCCGACCCCAACTTTGGGAAATACTGATCTAAACAACATATTTTTGCCCTTTATTTCATAAAGATTAACGAATGTAGTTAGAAATATATAGAAAAGTGACAAAAATAGTTTTATTATAAATCGCTAGAAGCATTTTCACATATTGTAACACCAGAATTATTGGGAGTATTTACTGTCTGACCAGGAAAGGAAGAAGTGACTACACCAATATATGGATTTCTACTTTACATTGGTAGGTCTTAGAAATGTGCCAAATCATTTCAGCTGTAGTTATTGCTTCTTTTGCTACCATTAACTCCTAATATAGGATAAAAATATATCTTCTTGTGGCAGTAAAGGCTTATGTTAATATATTGTCTCTGGTTTTCTTATCAAATATTGCATGATTTAAAATCTTGTCAAGGTTTAAATTTTGCCTTGCTTTTCCTTTAACAGTACCATGTTTCCTGACTTAATCAAAACTTCTCTTCAGTTGAGAGATTTTGAAAAACCTTGCATACTATTAACACTTGAATTATGGTTTTGCGTCTTAGTGCACCTGGTTGGTGTTCGTTTTATTTTCGGTGTCAGTGACAGAGTATCACTGAAGTATCCTGTGAGCTCTGGAACCACTTACAGAGCAGTCTTTCTACAGTCAAGTTACAATGAAATACATTTAGGAACTACTTCATCTTCACCCATCTGCTGCAGTTTATTTGTTGTGTACTTTCCCAGCAGTTGATACAGCATCAGCAAATGACACTGAAGAACTGCAGAGATATTCTGAGATGTTTTGGTCATGGTTATGGCTGCTTAATTTATGATCTCAGTCTGTGAGTTTAGGTATCTGGTAAGGAAAGCCCCCTGGACACCTCCTTGGGGTGGTTTCCCAGGCGTGTCCAACTGGGAGCAGACCACTGGCATTAGCCAGGAGATGCTGTAGAGACGAGTGTCCCAGCTGGTCTAAGACCTTGAGGTCCTTCTAGAAGAGCTCTCTGGGGAGAGAGATGCCTGAACCTCTCTGCTCAACCTGCTTCCAGAGGTCTGTACTTGAAAAAAAAAAACTACTGGTAAGTAAAAGTAAAAATACCTTAACAGAAAATGACTTTGGTAAAAACAAATGTCACTGATGAGAAAACTACTTAAGTAAAAGTCATAAAACTGTTCACAAAAATTGGGGTAAGTAGAAGTAAAAGTACTTTTTCACGTTCTCTAACAAAAAAAAAAAGTTAAATTTACAGAGCAAAACTGGCTTCACAAAACCAAGTTGATTAAATTGGTCAATTTCTTTAAAATAAAATATGTATGTCACCTCAAATTTACTTTACTACGTTTAGTGGAAATAGTTGATATGATTTATTTGAGTAAATTCAATTAGAGCACATAAACAACTGCTTTCATGAGTTCAGACAGATTTAATTTATAAGTAACTAGGTGTTAAACTTTAAATAAGTAAAAGTATCATTTTTAGGTTTTAAAAGTAGCTAAGTAAAAGTAAATGTCACAAATTTAAAAAATACTTGGTAAAATTACAAATCCTCAAAATAAGTACTGTAACAAAGTAAATGTACTTAGTTACTATAAACCTCTGCCTGCTTCTCCTGCAACCCGGCTGCAGAACAAGCAGCAGTGGATGGACGGAACAGTAACTAGAAATGAACCGTTTAAAAATCAATGTTTCTAAAAAAAAGTTTAATAAATTTGCCTAGCTTTGATCTACCGTGCAGGTACGCAAACATGACATCAACCTGTGTGAGAGGCCCAACAGCAGCCTTGTGCTCACTTCTCAGCTCAGATGGACCTGCAAGAGAGGAGGACTTTGATCAGAGGAATTTCTTTTTCCTTGTGAGGAATATAGAGCCACAGATAAGCTCTGGACCAGATGTGCCCAAAGTGGGGCCCGCGGGCCAAAATTGGCCCACCAAGCCATTTGACTTGGCCCACCAGCAGTTGTCCTGGTTATTAGATTGTGATTATGTTAAGACTAAATATAAAATACAAGTAACTACAAGAGACATTTAGATTAAAGCCCATATATAGATTTGCACACTTTATAAGACCCCATACACTCAAATTTTAAATTATGAAAAATCCCATGAGTCTTTGCTGCCTGAGCATACGTTGAATTTTCTCCATGTCCATAGGCTGAAAAAAAAAACAACTAAAGAATGTGGGCAACCACACTGGCTGCTAGTTTAATCATAAAAAAAACTTTACTTGAGTATTAAGCATTTCTTATATTGTTGCATTTGACCTGCGTCCCTCAGATTGATTTTAATTTTGGCCCTCTCAGTGAAAATGTTTGGGCACCGCTGCTCTGGACAGATACCTGCAGCTCACTTAAAGCCTGAACATTTTACTTTCTAAACTAAAACAGAGAACACCTTTTCCTTTTACAGACATTGCAGCTTAAAATCCAAGAAACTACTGTTTTGGATTTAGTCTTCTGTGAAATTAATTTAGAAAATAAATGTTTGGTTTCAGAGGGAAACAAACATCTTTAATATATTAAA